GTGAGATTGGGCACCGGGTAACTCCAAGATGCAGTTTTAGTTTAAGGCACTGTCTCCTCTAACAAAGCCGCAGATACTAGGAAGTCATGGCCCCTGTATGTACTTCTCAAATTCTGATCTCAACTGCTGAATCATTCACGGCTGTGAGATGAAGGTATTGGTGGATTCAGCCGCTGGGAAGATCCCCTGGAAGAGGGCATGGCAACCCACTCCAGTATTCTTGCCTGGAGAATCCCCATGGACTGAGGAGCCTGGTGGGCTACAGTCCATGGGGTCACAGAGTTGGACATGACTGAATGGTTAAGTACAACACAGCATACACATTGGACACTTACATCATTTAGTCCTCTAGTTATGATTCCATGGGTATCGATACAACTTTTAATTATCGTGCAGCTTGACCACAGGAAAAGAAAGAATTGATCATTTTGACTTGAATATTGAAGCTCTCCATGATTTTCTGGTGGGGACAAGGTTAAATAATAAGTGAGGATTTCCTTTTATTTCTTCCCCATCCTCACTTCATCATGGAGATATTTACTTACAGAAGTCTTATTTCTAGACTTTTCAAGTTACAAAATTTGAAGAATGGGTGGATAAAAATGGTATTGAAGTATGGAAATGGGGAAAAATAATACTTTCCAGTGGAGAAATCTGGCAAACACGACCTCAGACAGGTGATCAAGATAAATACCAATAGTAATAAGACATACTGATTATATGGGTTCTTAATATGACATGATAAAATGATACATTATCTCTGTGGTCTTTTCCACACAGACCCATATCTCTATTCTAATCATGAGAAAAATGTAAGGCAAACCTCAGTGGAGGGACATCATGCAAAATACATGAACTTGTCAAAACTGTCAAAATTATCAACAAACCAGAAAAGTCTAAGAAACTGTCACAGTCTAGAGGACATAGTCTAAGATGACATGATGATTAAATGTAATGTAGAATCCTGGATAGGATCCTGAAATGTACAAAGACATTAAGTAAACGTGAGGAAATCTGAATAAAGTAGAGTCTTTAGTTAATAATAATAATCAATCAATATTAGTTCATTGGGTGTGAAAGATACATGATACTAAGATATTAACAGTAGAGGAAACTGAGTATGGAGTATATGGGAAATCTCTGTACTATCTTTGCAATAACTTTTCTATAAATCTAAATTAACAGTAGAGGAAATTGAGTATGGAGTATATGGGAAATCTCTGTACTATCTTTGCAATAACTTTTCTATAAATCTAAAGCTATTTTAAAATAAAAGTTTTTTTAAAATAGTATTAGAATTAACTCAAATTGGATAATAGATCTAAATATAAAATGCAAATTATAAAACTCCAAGATAACATAGTATAAAATTTAGATAACTTTAGGTATGGTGATGACATTTTAGATAATACCAAAGCAATCAATCAAAGAAATAACTGATAACCTGGGCTTCATTAAAATTAAAAACTTTTCACTGTGATGAATATTGTCTAGAGAATGAGAAGGTGAGTCACAGACTGTTATCTTATAAAAGACTGTTGTCCAAAATACACAAAGAACACTTAATGATGATAACAAACCTTGATTAAAAAATTAGAAAAATCTTGTCTTAGTCATTTAAGGGAAGAGTTAGTCGCTTAGTCGTGTCCAGCTCTCTGTGACCCCATGGACTGTGGCCCACCAGGCTGTGCTGTCCATGGAATTCTCCAGGCAGGAATACTGGAGTTGGTAGCTATTCCCTTCTCTAGAGGATCTTCCCGACCCAGGGATCGAACCTGAGTCTCCCACATTGCAACCAGACTGGTTACCATCTGAACCTCCAGGGAAGCCCAGATGGTAGAGTCTGCTGCTATGACAAAACACCTCACATTAGGTGGCCTGTAAATGACAGGAGTGTTTTCTCACAGTTCTACAGATCAAGAGGTGCAAAATAACATCTCAGGCCAGTTTGGTGTCTGCTGAGGGTCCGCTTCCTGGTTCACAGGTAGGGTCTTTTCACTTTGTGCTTACATGGTCAGGAAGGGCAAAGGGTCTCTTTGGGGCCCCTTTTATATGGGACTAAGTCCCTTCATGAGGGCTCTGCCTTAATGACCTAATTACCTTCCAAAAACCTCACTTCCTAATATCATTACCTTGGGGCGGCGGTTAGGATTTCAACATAGGAATTTTGGAGAGGATACATGCATTCAATCCGCATCAAGACCTGAATAGACATCACACCAAACAAGCTATACAGATGGCAAGTAAGCATATAAAAGTGCTCAACATCATCTGTCCTTAGGGAATTGTGAATTAATATAAGACTGAGACACTACTATACACCTACTGTTGTTGTTTAGTTGCGAAGTAGTGTCCGACTCTTTGGTGGACTGTGGCTCGCCAGGCTTTCCTGTGTTTCACTGTTTCTGGGAATATGTTCTAACTCATGTCCATTGTGTTGGTGATGCTATCCAACCATCCTTTGTCAACTGCTTCTCTCCTGCCCTCAGAACTTCCCAGCATATTACAGTGGCCAAAATTCAAAACACTGACAACACCAATGCTGCTGAGGATGTGGAGCAATAGGAACTCTTACTCATTGCTGCTGGGAAATGCAAAATGGTACAGCCACTCTGGAAGACAGTTTGGTGATTTCTTGCAAAACTAAACATATTCTTACCATATGATAGAGCAATTGCATTCTTTGGTTTTTACACAAATAAATTGCAAACACATATTTGGATGCTAATAGCAGCTTTACTCAAATACTGCCAAAGCTTAGAAGCAACCGAGGTGTCCTTCAGTAGGTGAATGGATAAATAAACTTGGTACATCCAGAAAATGGAACACTACCCACCACCAAAAAGAAATGAGCTATCAAGACACCAAAAGACATGAATGAAACTTCAATGTACATTACTAAGTGAAAGAAGCCAATCTGGAAAGGTCACATACTGTATAATTCTAACTATATGATAAATGATACACAGAGATAGTAAAAAGATCGGTGGTTGCCAGGGGTTAGGAGGAGAGAGAGATGAGAGGCAGAGCATGGAGGACTTTCAGAGCCGTAAAAGTACTCTAAACGATACTATAAAGGTGGAGACAGGTCAAAAACATTTGCCAAAATCTATAGATTGTACAACACCAAGAGTGAACCCTAAATTAAGCTATGATTTTGAGTGATAATGATTTGTCAGTGTAGATTTACCTGTTGTAACAAATGTGTCACACCTGGGGGGAAGTTGATAATGGGGAAGGCTATTCCTGTCTTGGGGCAGGGGAGCATATGGGAAATCTCAGTATTTTCCAGTCAATTTTGCTTTACACTACTCAAAAACACTAAGTCCATCTTAGGAAATTTAGTATGGGAGAGACTTCTGGGAAGATGAGAGGATGTAGGTTAAGAAATAACAAAGTAATAAGAGTAATAAAGGCTCCGATCATTTGGCTGTAATCAGCTCACTGAGCAACAATAGCATCAGTTTTGCTTACACCTCTTTCCCCAGTGTCCGTCGTTCTGTTATAGTATCTAGAACATAGTCAATCCTTAGGAAGGATCAATTAAATCAATCAGTGAATGAAAGGCCACTGTTCCATGGAATTTTTCCCTAATAACCCTTAACAAGATCAAATTAATCCATTTATTTGTACTTCTCAGTTACATTCTTTTATTTCATGCTGTATTATATATTTACTTGCATTTGTCTCCACACACTTAAATGCTTATGTACACACACACACACACACACACGAGACTACAAGCTCCTTGAAGACAGACTGGGCCTCGCTTTTATCTGTCACCTGCCAACACTTAGCTAGGACTTTGTACGTGGGGAACATTCGTGTGTGCCTGTTGAAGTGAGATCACTTTCACATTATCCGCTTAAAAGTTCTTATTTAGTGTATCCACAGAACAAACATAAAATTTCAAAACATTAAACTGATACGAGATAAATGGACTCACTAATCTAATACCTAACTATATTTGGCAAGAAATTTTGTATTTGTACATTCCACATCACTGGGAAGAAATCCTGAAAAAGTGTTTAGTAGGCTATTTGTAACCTGAGGGCCTTTGTTCAGCATCATGTGCTGAGAATTCTATTTGATTTCCCTGTGGAAATTCTAATAAGCCAGCAGCGGGTTAGGTGAAAACAGTATTGCAACCATGGGAATCTGTAAACTAGGTCCTCTTGAGGTCCTTGAATTTGGTGAATTATACGGCCATTCCTAAGTCATTTCGGTATTATGGCTTGAGGGATTTCTTCTCTAAAAAACGGACTAGATAATCTGCAAGAATCTTCTAGCTCCAATATTTTTTGTCATTTAAAGTTCTTTGAGAATCAAACTGGACCCCTAAATACAAGGCCAGTTTTCCAGTTCATGCATTTTTCTGGCCACAAGATGGCGAACTTTATGCTGTTTTCTTCATTTCTCTACAAGGGAAAAGAACCTTAACCCTCTTGCAGTTTTGAAAATTTAAAACTCCCAATATCTTAAAAAGTCTGATAAACACAACATGGATTTACATTCTGACTCTAACAAGTGTCTTAAGTGCTTTGGATTTTCTTGATAAAGAAGATTTCCTCTTTTGTGGGGCAATACAGATTTAGACTGTATTTCTATTAACATACAAATGCAAATATCCCATGATAAAATAAAAAAGACTACAAGTATTTTCATTTGCTTATCTTTTTCCTTATGTAGTCAGAGACAGGGATTTGGGAATCCAGAATCTATGAAAGCTAGTGGATAGAGTTCTCAAAATATATTTTCATTCTGGTATTTCTAACCCTTGGCCTTGATACTTCCCAAGTCTGTTATCCCAATCTTTTCTTGTGGTACTGGGTTCTCAGATTTTATCTAAGGTAGAAGTAGCAAGTAAAAAATACATCGATTTCATGCACCAAATTTGGATTTAGGAAGAACAAGATTTGCATTTCAGAAATTTGAAGTAATTTTCCTTAATTATATATAATCTGTCTGCTTTAAGAAGAAGCATGATTTTGCCAACTTACCCTGGTCAGAAGTTCATTCATTTCTGTCACCAGCGTGTTCAGATTGCCTTCTGCCAACTGAATGAGCCTCTCTGGGGCCCGCTGAGGTGAGAGCAAATGCTGAAAGAGATTTCATTCCATATGTCTTTGAGTAAATGGTCTTGCAGCGATCATAGGTTGAATTTTTAACAGAACACATTTTTCCTTTAAATACAAAGAACTTAGCCTTCTCACCTTCAAAGAAGAGAGGAACTATTTCAACTGGGCATTAACACACACAACGCACTGTGCAGAATAAGCTGGCAAACAACGCAAACTGCTGCAGTTTATTAAGACACCACTGCGTGCCAGGGCTTTTTGTTTTGATTTGTTTCATTTAGTTCTTAGAACGGCTCTATGAGATAAGAATGTTACTTCATTTTGTAGATAGAAAACTGTGGCTTGAAGAGACCTAAGCATGTATACAAGATCGCATAGCCAGTAAGAAGTAGAGTCCAGACGAACCGTGTCTGAATCTTCAAGGCCCCTACATTAGTCACCAGAGATAGTTTACAGGTTTATCACTTCTTTCTTTGAGGACAGGAGCCCTGACAGAGGGACCTGGCTGGGCGCTAACTCACTGCATGGTGTCAGTGTTGTAGGAGCTGGCCTGGTACTCACAGCTGGTACATTTTCCTCTCCTACTGAGCATTATCAATCTCACAACACTAACAGTAGATGGGGTCACTCTGTGACAGTGATGAATGAAACAAAAATTGAGACCACTCCATAATCTTGTCTAAACGCAGATAAAATCACGGTCTCCGTGCAGATCACAAAAATACCCTGAATCCCATTTTCTGGCTACTATGAGTGACCACTGCCTCCTTACTAACTGTAGCTTTAACTTCTCTTTTTCTTCCTTCCTTCTAGATAAGATTCATTAGAATACTTAATTACAGAATTATTTCCACTTCCTAAGAAGAGCACCCAATCCAATACAAACCTCTGCTTCCTTGAAACTGCTCCCCAATTCCTTAGCATAAACCCCGATACTCTTCAGTGATTCTTAATGCCCTGTTACTGAGACACGCCCAAACCCCACAAGCCACGCAGTGGCCTTTGTGGCATCAAGTTAGTGAATCCAGCTTTGCTCTATCGCGTGTATGTCCCAGGTCACCTGGGACTGGAACCCAGGGGTCACTGATGCTTCCAGTTCAAGGAACCGAACAAAGGGCATGTCTAACTTGCTTAATGATTTACAACATTACAATGGGATTCCAGATACTAAACAATGGAAGAGGAACGTGAACAGAATCAAGAAAGATTGGAATTTAAGCAAAATCAAATCATTCTGACCAACGCCCAGCCATAAGGAAAGAGGAAATTGAACCCTCTGGCTTGGTCAAGTTTCACAGATTGGAGTGTGCTTTTCAGAGGGCCCTTCAGAAATTCACTCATTGCATAAGTTATTACTTAAAATTTTTTTATGTCCCGCTGAAGCATTTGCTTCTCTAGCTCAATTTTCTGTGTTTGTGTTCTTTCCATATATAATAACTGGTCGGCCTTTTCTTTATTAGGACTCTTTGCATTCCTGAATGCTAGGCCTCTAAAGTAAACTCAGATTCCTCTGCCTGGCTTTCCAGATTGTCCTTCATACCATCCAGCCCCACCGAAGCCTCCAGCCTTATCTTTCACTAGCAGACCTGACTTCTAAGACTTCTCCAAGACAGGCGGTGCTCATTCATACCTCTGCCTCTGCGCACACGGCTCTCACAGAGTCAGGGGCAAGAGTATGAATGGACGGGCTGGGGCTCAAAGAGATCTCACGACTGAGCCGTTTCCCCTCTGAGCTGTGTGAAGGTGCTGTCGTTGTCTCAGGCCCTACAGATAACACGGACTCTTCAAATCTCAGCTCTGTACCTAGCAACCACGTGAGATTTCATCACACTTGAAACTTCTCTATGACTCAGCGTCCCTGCCTATGTGAGAAAAATGTAGATGACACATTACTCCTTTCCTACTTCTTGGATTTTTAGCAGTCTATGTGTGATAACTCATGTAAGACTTTAGTCAATTGCCTAGCACAGATATACTCATCAATACATGCTACTCATCAATACATGATACCTGTACTATCAATACATGCTGTATCAATACACGTGAATAGGTATAATAATACTTACTTTAAAAGCTGTGGTCTGAATTAAAGAATGTATTTCCTAGAAGAGTGTCTGCCAGTGCCTAATGAATACACCTTAGACTTTCTCCTCCAGTCTTACCAATAATTCTCTGCCTGTTGAAATTGTTTCTATCTTTCAAGTTCTAACACAAATTATACTTTCATTAATAATGTATTCCCTGCTTACTCTGGATCTTATCTATTTCTCCGATCTTGAATGCTACTGTATGTCAAATGCTTATAAAGTTTGTGGTAATTATATAGTTTTGCTAATTGTTTAATTATTTTTTTAAACCATATAGACCCTAACCTTCCTAAAGGTAGTGATTGCATGCATTAGGGGTTGTGAAACCCTCAGAGAACCAAGCACAATACTGGGCATTCCAGACTTTCTCAATAAATATTTGGCAATTGACTGATAGTATATAAGTTGTCACTTTTCATCCTTTTTTTTTTTTTTAATTAGAAGAAACAACCTCAATTTCCTTAACATTTCTGCCTTATCCCATTAACTACTGAAAGCTATAACAGTGTCTTAGGATGGGGTTTCCCCTGCAACAAAAATAGTTCTTGTTGAAATACTTTCAAATGTCTCCTCATTCTCCAGTACAAAATTTTCACCTTGTTTTCATTTTGATAGGAAACTTAAATGTTAATGCAAGCATTTCTGGAACCCAGGCTGGGAACCTGAGAGATTCACACAGCCATCTGATCCCAGAGCCTAGATCTGCATGCCTGTTTGATCACAGGGCAGGCTGGGCATAGAAATCATGCGAACTTGTCAGATGATGCCAATGTCAACTCAGGTCCTCTCACAAGGAGTTCTGTAGTTCACATTGTGGAAAGGCAGAATTGAGTTACCACATGTCACATGCTGATGAAAGATCCTGTGTGGAAGTAGTCAGTATCATACTCTTGTTGTAAGTAGCAATTTGCACTCAGTAAAAATCATGTTACTTTATATTAATGTTTTTAATTTGAATTTTATTGGTTTTTAAGACTTTTGTAAGAATTAATTTGTTTTGATTTTATAGAGCTATTAAGTATAAGGAGTTCATATCTGATTTTATGTTTGCACATATTTAACAAACTTAATAAAATTGATTTAGGCCAAACACTGGGGGTACATGAGCCTCTTTTCCCTTAAGAGCAATCAGTAAATTGTAGTTCTCAAGTTTGAAAAACACTGGTTTAGAAAGCCTCTGAATTACCCTAACAAAGGCTTGCCTTAATTTGGGACAATGGGAAGTGCATTTACCAATTAGGGCAATTCCCCCTGGGGAAGCTTCTGTCATCTTTTATCCCAACTTCTGCCGTTACTACTCCAACCTACCTTGAGTTCCTGAGTCATATTTTCAAGACCATACAGAATTTTATACGGAGCAGGCAGCGGACCGGTGAGGTTGACGCTCGTGGCCATCTGCTCCAGACGAGCCAAGTCACCGAGAAGAAGGCCAGTGCATTCATCTCCACAAACTGTGAAAGGCAAATGACAAAGAATATATTCTACTTTGATGATTAACTAACCCTGTCTTATGGAAAAATAACTGCCGAAAGTCAGGAAAACTTTATTCTTGAAGTAGCAAAGACTGCTAGTGTTCTACCTATATATTTTTTCAATGATTAGAAAGAGGGACTATTCAAAGTTGGTAGGGGTGGAAGGGGTCTGGATGGTAGCAGAGAAAAAAAAGGTTTCTTCACCACTATCACACTAACTCATAAATAGTACAATTTCTAAAATTAAAATATGTTGATTCTTTTGAGACTTAAAATATACCTATTCAGTTTGGATTTTTAGTCCAAAAATTTTTTTTCACTCTTTGCCCATCAGAGAAATGAGGTATAGCTTCTCCATGCCAAGAAGCATGTGCTACCATATTTATAATATGCATCTAAGTATTGAGAGAGTCAATTCTTTGGGTAGGTTGATAAGAAGTCCAGAGTCCCTGAGGAGAAAGGGGTCTGGGGATCTTGAGGAGAAAATGACAAATGTTTTTGGCTTTAAGTCCAGAGCTGATGATTATACAACAAAACTACTCATCTTGCTCAAGGATCTGGTTTTCCTTGAACTTTGTACCAGTGATTATCTAACAAGAATGTAGCCTGCTTGAGGACAAGTTTTTCCTCCTCCAGAACCTTCTGACTAATCCTGTCATCTTAAAATGTAAATTGTGGGAATGGGTCTGGGAAGATCTTTCTATTGTTAGTTCTAATCCTGTTATCTTTAAATGTATATTGTTGGAGTGGCTCTGGTAAGACCCTTACAATCCTGAGACATTCTTTTGATTTACTGTAATAACCAACTGAAAAAGCATATAGCTCTCTTGCTAAGACTAGCAAGTGGGTCATTCTCCGTCCCCCTTCTGATGTCTATGTCAGAAGCTTTCTCTGTCCCTTTTTATACTTAATAAAACTCTGTCTACACAAAAGATCTTGAGTGATCAAGCCTGGTGCCTGATCCTGAAAGTAAATCTTCTTCTGAGATCATGAATCTGACATTGTTCACCATAAGTTATCAGCACATAGATACAATTTCTAGCTTACATTCTGCATATGGAGGTATCAAAACTACATACAAATCAAAAGAGAGGACAATACATACCATGAAAAATACTGAGATCTGGAGCAGCTTTGCCTCATGCCCCAAACTGGCAAGGATTCAATTAGTTCTCTAAACTAAACTCCCTTGAGCTGCCCAATGGAGAGAAAACCATTAACTGATTCTTGTAGACAAAGAAGTAGTACAGAGAGTGATTTTTTGATAGGATGGCAGTTAGACATGAGTAATATCCCCGTCACAGGGACGAAACTGCCCCAGCAAGGCTATCATGTATCAGCTCCTTGCAGGTGACACCGCTGAGTGGGGAGCATCACCTGCAGGGGTGCTCTCAGCTCCTGGAGCCTTGCAAGCTAAGTGAACAAAGAGGCTTTAGAAGCAAGAAGTGAGGTCTGACAAACTAGAGCTGGATCTCTTTCTCTTCTATCCAGGATGAGAGACAATTTGCATTTAAAAATGGAAATAAGTAAAAGGAAGAGAAGGCTGTGGCCTCAACCCCCCAGCTCAATGTTAAGTGCTTGAGAAGTTTCAGCAGACCTGTCAACATGAAACAGTCATGGAACACACAACCTGGAACACAGTTAGGTACCAAATTGACTCTAACACCACGACCCAATTTAGTCCTCAAACTTGAATGGGTTTCAGAGGCATCTGATGGGCTTTCTTAAACCACAGAAGGCTGGGCCATACCCTTAGCATTTCTGATTTGAGAGGTGATTGAATGGTCTGGTTTCTGATTCTCTGATTGAGCATGTGCTTTTCTAACAAGCTCCCAGGTAAATATTAATTCTTTGGTCTGGGCACCACACTTTGGATAACTACAATATCAGCAGCAACCACACCACCCGGGAGCTTATTAGGATATTGGGCCCCATCCCAGATCCAGTGAATCAGAATCTGCATTTCAGAAAGATTCCCATGTGATCTCTGCATGTTAATGTTTGAGATGCACTGCTGATGTGGCTTTCCATCTTGCTGCATATTGGAATCATGGCCGTTTACAAAAATACAGATGTCTGGTGTTTCCCCTAGCCACCTCCAGAGACTCTGATTTGATGGGCTTGAGGTAAGGCCCAGGCATCAGTACATTTAAAAGATACCAGATGATTCTATCAGATAGCAGAGTTTAGAACCACTGGGCCAGACGACAAACTTTACAGATTCTCTATCCTTAAGGGAGATAGGGTTTGGAAGAAAGAGGTCATTTTACTTGCTGTCTCCTCCGCCAAGAACACTTCTTCCTTCATCTTCAGCTGTGTGACCCCTGGAGAATCAGGGCCAGGGCTCAAGTGTTACTTCCTTGGAGGAGTTGGCCCTGATGACTCTGAAATTACTGTCCTCACACATCACTACTGTATTCCCTTTGTCTTGTTATCTTAACACTCATGCATGTATAAGCTATCTTTTCATTTTAGGCATTTATATACTGTTTCTCTATCACCAGAGAAGGGACCTTAGTCAGCTTTGGTCACGGTGCCTAAGAAAGTGTCTTGCACATATTAAGTAGTCAACAAATATTTGTTTACTACTATCTTTGTGAAAGGAGAGCAAAAAATATTTTGGAGAAGATCACAGAGTTATCACCATTTTAAAAGTTCCATTCAAGCTCTAGTGAACATGTATTTTGGGCAGATGTTCTCAGGATAGAAGCAAGCAGTGTGCTCTTTTTCACTTTCAAGATCTTGAAAGATACTTGATAATATGATATCTCACTATGCTTTTTAGGGTAGGGTGTTCTTCAGAATACATTGCTAGTTCTTTCTCTAACTTATTTAGAATTTACAACCTACCCATTTCTAAGAGGAATTGAGTCAGTTCATTGATAATTGTATTGAGGAGCTTGAGGCTCCTCACTGATGGTTCCAGAAACTTCCAGGGAAAAGTTTTCTCAGTAATTTCAGTTTTTACTTCATACAAGCATAAATCAGGGGCTGGAATGCAGAACTAGATCTGATTTACTGTAAAACACTGCAGAGTAAATTGGTGAGCTAGAATGCCAAGAGGCATGATGAATACGGATTTTTCTCTCATTTATTCTACCCCCTGTCCATCTGTTTTGGTTCCTCATCTTCAGTTGTTGAAATGAAAATGCATTTAATTGCTCTTTCAAGGACTCATAACTCCATTTTATGTCTCTGCGTCCAAAGGTCTATTATTATACTATGTCTTATGGTCTCTTGGGGGAAGAAAGTACAAGCATATTTCCATAAGTGAAGGCTAAGTTTTATAGCATGCTCCAAGTAATATACTAACACACATCCAAATGGGTCAGAAAGACTTATGAATGTGACAGCTATGGGGTTTTTTCAAAGCTTCTGTACAAGTCTAGTTCATGCAGTCATAAGATAAACACATGGGGAAATGTGCCCTTTACATAATGGTTTGCTAATTTTATCCTGACACAAAATATTTAACTTACACCACAAGCTACTTTCATTTGTCCTCAAAAAGTCTGAAATGTCTGGCAACAAACACTGGAAATGGGATGCAAATTAAAACCACATTTAATTCAGTACAATAGGGAAGGTCTGAAGTGTGTATAGAGACAAGGATTATTCACATTACGTAAACATTGTTCTTTGATAAGGGTGCAGTAACTACTCATAACACATATCATATAATCAAGATCCCCAAGGAACCTCTCCAAACCATTCTCCTATTCAGCAATAGAGATAAGGTTATAAAATGAGATTCTGCCTGAAATGCATGGGAGCAAAAAGCAAATATTTTAAGACTATGATTGTATTTTACATGACTAAATGTTTCTAAGGCTTTGCCTATGAAAGTGTCAGGATAAATTTGTGTCTAATATTAACAAATGCAGTACTAAATTCAGATTGTTATAGCTGGGCACATGTAAGGGGCAAATCATGCAGCTGAAATTACACATCGTTCCGTTAGCAATTAGCACAAAATATTGCATTTCTACTAGAGTCCCCCACGCATAATAAGCACCGGCTTACTGCCACAAAAAATTCACCCACCACATCCAAACCAAATAATCTGAAGCTGAAATGAGAGCACTGCATAGTTTTAAAAAGGCCAAACCTATTAACCAACTTTAGGTAAAGATACACAGATTGCCCACTCTAAGCAAATAGGGATAAAATGAGTAAATACACATTTCTAACAAAAGAAAAAAACTGTGTTAATGTGCATTTTAATTTAATTCTTCTACATTAAGGCCATTGATTGTTTCTTGTATATGGATTTAAATTTTTTTTAAAATTTATTTATTTGGCTGTGCTGGGTCTTAGTTGCAGCACATGGGATCTTTCAGTTGTAGCATGTAGCTTCATGCATGTGGGAGCTAGTTCCCTGACCAGGGACCGAACTCAGGCCCCCTGACTTGGGAGCAAGGAGTCTTAGACACTGGACCACGAAGAAAGTTTCTGGGTATGGATTTTATGTTTCTCTCTTTCCTCCTCAAGAAGAAAGTTTTAGATTAGCATTTATTTAAGACTTATTAAATGAATTCAGTTATTCAATATTATTTACAGATAGATATCTTCTAAAATAAAAATGTGGCTTCAAATCCATTAAAAAGGCTTTTTCCTTTGCCTGTTAGTTCTTCGAATAGAGGGAAAGATTTTCTGTAGATTTTGAATGAGGCCGATAATTTATTCATGTAACAAGTTGTGAGGTATATAAATATTAAATAAACTTATGTACATAAATACATATTTAAAATAAGTTCAATATGGTTCTCGGGCTTCCCTGATAGTTCAGTTGGCAAAGAATCTGCCTGCGATGCAGGGGACTGCAGTTCAATTCCTGGGTCGGTAAGATCTGCTGGAGAAGGGATAGGCTGCCCACTCCAGTATTCTTGGGCTTTCCTTGTGGCTCAGCTGGTAAAGAATCCACCTGCAATGCAGGAGACCTGGGTTCGATCCCTGGGTTTGAAAGATCCCCTGGAGAA